AGCAGCTCTCACATAGCCCCGCTGAGACCTGGTTCCCCCAGCAAAGAGCTCTCCAGGCTGCACTAGATGATCTTATTGTCCCTCTCTGCTCCATCAATAAAGCCTCTGTGCAGTGGCTCTCCCTGGTTCTTCTCAGCCCTCTCCAGGCTTCCAGCTTTACTTCACGGGTCAGCAGATGAAGGTACCCTCTGATTTCCCCGTAGTGCTCGGCTGGTTTATGCCATCTTGCTCCCAGCTTTCTGTGAGGAGCCTCCTGGTTTTGGTAGTGTCCTCCTACTGCCTCCCTGCCCACCACCTTGGTTCCACTGGTTGTATGGCTCTGTGGTCAGACAGGTGGGCTATGTTGAAAGCAGCTAAAACTTTTCTCTCCCTGTCCTTCCTTCTCTATACTACTTGCCGTCCATTGAGATCTGAGCCTGCATTTGCAAAACATTTCATGACGTTTAGAGGTGAAGAAGATGGGAACTGCGCAGCTTGCTGCCCAGAAAGTGAGATCTATCTATGGGAGCTTGTACAAACCTACCTCCCCAGGCAAGCAGCTTGCCTGGTCACCCAGGCAAGCGTTAATAGTCGGGAAATAGGAGCAAACTAGAAGTAATGTTAAGGTACCCTGAGTTTCTCGAACTTGAGCCTGTGCAGGGTGCAATTAGGGGCCTTAGGATAACCTTCCTCAAGACATCCTGCAGTGTCCAGTATGCAGTACTCTTGGGGTTTGGTGTCTAACCTGCTGGTCCTGGAAGGCCCTAGTGTCAGACACCTGAAAATCTAGATGTGGGATATCTGACTTACTTGGAAAACCCATCAGACTAAGTAACAGAAAGAGGCCTGTCCTAGTTTTTAAAATGCATTTTATTTATGCATTTGATTATAAATTCAGTCACATCAAGAAATGCTTGGCAAAAGCAAAAAAAAAAAAGAGCCATAGAATCAGCTGTTTCACTCTCCTTCCCAATCAAAGTTTCCATCAGGGATCAGACAAATGCCAAGTAAAAACAAAGTGGGTAGAGGAGAGAGAGAGTAATAAATAATGAAATAGGCAATGAATCAGAGTCCTTAGGTAATCAAAATACTTAAGCCATAAAGATATCAAAAAGAAATAAGCTCTGTCCGTATGTCAGGACTACGTCATGCACAGTTATATTGCTATCAAGAAGACACATTCTGCACAAATACCTGCAGAATTGCTACACTCTCAGTGTCTGCCATGGTCCAATATTGTCTCCTAGAGTCAGAAACTAATTAGGTGTTAAATTTTTAAGCGTGTTTTTGAGGGTTAGAGCCTTAGTTCAAGAATTGCTGGACTCTAGTGTGTTTTCTTAGATTGCTTTCATCTAGTCTTTCACCTCTCTCTGCTTCTTCAAGGCCAATGCATGGAATATTAAAAATACAACAAGTCTCACATTCAGAAGAGACTATCTTTGCTAACACTCTAGCAGGTAAATGTATGGGGGAAATAAACTGCATCACCAGCTTAGTATCTAGCTCAGAAAGTCTGCCTTCCTAGATGTTAATTTTCATCCAAAAGCTTTGTGAGCCTGTAACAGTATTAAAAAATATTTTTTCCAATCTACTTGAAATTAAATCCTTTGCTTTTGCAATCTGGCAGCAATTATAAAGTTCTTATCTCCTGCATCACATTAGTTTTGCCTACAATAGAGTCACCTTCTTTTGCTCCATTTTGGCAAGTGTTTATATCAGCCCCAAATTCGAGTCCAGTGAAGAGCTGCATGCACTTTTCCCTCCAAGTTAGATGCTAGGCGAGTTCTATCCAGACAGTTATCGTCATCATTTTGCACAATAAGTCCCGCCGGTCCTTGAGTTTAGTTATGCTAGGTACTTCAGCCTTTGCGCGATACTGTCACTATCTGTGATTGATGCTTCATGGGCAGTGTTACAACTGCCTGGTGAGGGCTGCAGAGCTCTCCTTAAAGTACAGATAGCCTTTACCCAGCCTGCTGCAGAGCTACTCCCTTCTCAACTGCTCCAAACCCCTCTGAAAGCCTCTCTGGGAACACGACTACTCCTTTCGTGAGAGCTGGATGGTCATCTGCAGTGAAGGTTTCTGCTCAGCACCCTCCTGCCAGTCGTCTTTTCCTTCTGCTTGCGGGGGGGAGGGTGATGCTCCCAGTCCTCCCCCAGCAGCCTGTGGCCAGAGGCACGGGAATCCGTGTTTGCAATGCGGGTTTTGCTGAGGAAATGTGAAACTCGTATTTCAAAAGGGGCTACAGTGGTGCTGACGTGTCAGCATGTAGGATGTGCTGTGAGGTGGGAGGGTGTGACTTCAGATACCCTGCTTGAGTAAATATCTCGCTCTCTGTAGTGATTTGCAGCAGTGCAGAAACCTGCTGTCCGCAGCAGGAGCACTGAGCTGCATTGGCTGGTTCTGGTTCCTTCACTTGGAGTGAAAGCAATAACTACCTGGTAGCCAGAGAGAAGCCCAGGTAATAAAAATGCTGAAGGACAGGCTCATTTCTTTTGCCTCATTTGAGCAGTTGAGAGAAGCTGTCCTTCGTGTCTTGCTGGCTTCGAGCAGGAGAGAATATTTGTAAAGTCACCTTGAGCTACTGCTGAGCTCCCAAAACTTGTCCGTGCACTTTCTGTTATGCTGACAGTTGACGTGTGCAGCAGAGCAAGAGCTGTGGATCCGTTACAGCTTGGTGACTCCATTTAAACCACGAAGGGAGATGCTATTCTCAATCTGAGATGGATTTTGCTGAATTTGTTGTTTTATTCCCTGTGATTAGGTATATGTTGATTATCATCAGTGACAGAAGAGAGTTGTAGCCACAAAGCTTAATTTATATAGAGGCACACAGAAACTTTAGCCTTTATTTCTTAAAAAAAAAGTTTATGTTGGCAACCTGGGTTTGCAGTAGAATGTTGTTATCATTTGGAGAAGAAACACTCAGGTTGTGAACCTGTGTGTTGGCTCTGAATGACAGCTAGGCACAGAGCAATGAAGAGTGGGCCTGTGTGCCTGGCAGCATCCATGAAACCCCTCTGGGGAGCTGACGTGCGTTAAGGGCTCCTCCACCTAGAAAGCACAGAATGTGCTTGATCAGAAAAGAACATCTGTACACACGGACATGTGGCCAGTAAAACAGCTTCGTGCACTACTCACTGGTATTTTGCATGGCTCTGAGTGCTCTGTAGGAGAAGTGTTAAAATGTGGCCTAGAGGCTAACTACCTGGTATCATATAAAGATAATTAATTCTTTGCTACAAAGATCATTTGGGTTAAATGTGATAACCCAAATCTGTGGCACAGTCCTGAACAGCTTTCTACTGCAGCCATCCGCAATGCTCTCAGCAGTTAATTCCTGGTGATGGTATGAAATCAGCCAGCTTTGCTTATATCTATAGCCATTTATTTGGTTATCCAACTGCATAATGACAACGTAGTCACTAGGTAGTACAGAAGTATCATTGGTACCATGAGATAATGTAGTCCACACTTTGAAAGACAGCAGAGCAGTTGAAGATTTTCTTATGTTTGTGTCAATTTTTAGCACCTGAATTTGCATATGCTACAGAATTGCTTTAATAGCAGGTGTGCAGGGTAAGTGGAGACACTTGGCAAGTCCCCATTATTAGTGGACATTTTTGACAATATTTAACTTATTGTTTCCATCTCCATTCTGACTTTTTTTCCATCTCTCCCTTACTTCTGGGCGTATGTGGACCATACACTTTGTTAGCATCTGCCACTGGAAGCACGCTGATCTTTTCAGATGCTTTTCTGCTGTAGGAGTACATAAAATAGAAAAGCTTCAATTACTGTGATAATAAACCAGTATTTTATTGCTATGTTAATAACACATTTGGTAAGTTGCTTCCAAGTACATCTTTGCATTGCCCCAGGGAAAATACTTCTTTACCCTTCATCACTTACCTGCACCCCATGTCTCTTGTTGCTCTCCATCCATTATTGTCCAAAGTGAAATCCAAAACCAAAATTCAAATTAGGTTCTTGCTTTCCAAATGGGTCTGGTAAAACAAATATGTTTGCATTTAAAGCAAGACTACATTGTCCTCAACCCCCTGCATTGAACAGCTGTTCTCAAAACCATACCTTCCAAAGTAAAATTTTACCACTAACTTGTCCCTAAGAATTGCTTATCAGACAAAAAATATTTTTCCCCCTCCAAAAATTAAAAAGTGGTGAAGAATGCAGGATTTTCTTTGGAACTTGTGAATTAAGAAGAACTTGTTTGCAAGCAACTTCAGTTGCAGCAACTAAAAAAATATAAAAGAATCTTTTAAATAACTTCTAAGTAAGTTTTCTTCCAAAAAATTTGTAGAAAAGATGTTACCGCTGTATCTGGCAGAAATCTATTTGAGCATTGGACTAGTGCTATTTGAAAAAAAAATACTGCTTACAGATTTAATATCTCCTGCAACATTTGGGTTTGTTTGAGAATCCTTCCAGGCGCTGGGTTCACTCCAGCTCCTGCTCAGTT